GAGGAGCCTGTGAAGACAGACACATAAGTTACCAGATCAGCCAAAGGCTCTGTCAGACAGGAAGAGGAGGTATCTCTACCAACCAAAGGGTTGTCCTCTCCTCCCACACACCTGCTCACTAGCCCTGGTGAGGATGACATTTCAAAGGAACTATCCTGTTGTGTCCTTTGACACATGCTGGGGACCATCAGATCAAGGATCCTGGCCCCCTCACACTCCGCACTTCAGGAGAAGTTTGTTCCTGCTTTTGCTTGTCTAAGCCCTTGTTGGAGAACCCTGCTGTTTAGGTAACCGTCCACCATGTCCAGATTGATCTCTGAGCTCTGCACAAAATAGAAGAACTCTCTTTGTCAGCAGGGTTTCCTCTTCTCTGCCCAATCTTAATTGAAGATTGCCCTTAAGCTCAGATGCCTGACCTTATTTGGAGGAGGACCCTGCACAAAAGTCTCTGAAAACCCTATGACTCAGCACATAATTCCTGCTCTTTCCTGCCTATATGATAATTAAGTGCTGTCTTATGCTCAATCAGCCCTTCCCACCCATAACTCTAAGAATTCTTGTATATTTTACTCCTGGTAACATGAAATGAGCTGTCTTTCTGAAGCTGACTCACCCAGAGGAAGTACTTTCTGTCACGCTCACAGCTGGCTCCTTTTGTTCCTTTCACCCTAGTGGGCTGGTGGCCACCCCACCCTCAACGAAAGGAGATTCACATGTCCCAAACTAACATATAATCTCTTTAATCTTATTTTCTTGACAGGAAATTCCTCAGGATAGACTCTATTCATCTCTACACACTATCTCTCATTTTTCCCTTTCTCTTCTCCATCCTGTTTTCCCAATTAGTCCCCTTCATCTCCCATGGTCCATTTCCCTCCTCCACTGCACTTACATAGTTCTTGTAGCTCTTCACAAAAGTCAGAGGGGATAAAGTGACCAAGATGATGAGCAGCCTAAGGTTAGTATATAAATCATTCCTGTTTTACGTGCTGTGGGTACTGTTCCTACAAGCACAACAAAAACGGAGAGGTAGATCTTCACTGGGGAGATGTCTTTATGATCACTTCTCTGTCCAATAAACGGGATTGGGGACGGAGTAAGCTGAAGGAGTGGAGCAGAAGACTGGCAGCACAGACCCAATAGCTGGAGGATGGATGAAGGACTCTGTTGCCATGGGTTGCAGGGACACAGAAGCCTGGAATTATGTATCCTACTGTGATGTCACTTCTTAACAGGGCTGTAATTCAGCTAGGCCATTTGAAGTAGAAACCCCCCTATTACAAAGCAGAAACAAACATGAAATTGTTAATAACTTTGCCAGAGAAAGGACTTACTCAGCACCAAACTGCCCTGCTGTGCCATAGCTCTCTTCCTGATTCCTTCCTTCCTTCTGAAATTTTGTCCTCTTTAGCCAAACTCTCCTCCCGACCTTCCCAATACTGATCCCCATGCTCTGCTCTCTGCTTGTGGCTCAACTTTCCAAGCATTTTCATGAGGGGGAAGCTGTGAAATTGTACCATCTAATGTGCTAGACTTCTCAAGTTTCTTGTCTTTTGAGTGACTACAATTTGTCATTTGCAAAGGATATTAAAATAACAATCAAAATACAGTAGAGGAGTGTATCTTGGTGGTTAAAACAACAGGGCTTCCAGTGGGACTCTACTACTTTGTATCCACTTACACAAGGATTCAGGGCTCTCCTTGGGAGGAGTAGGCAGCACCAAAGTGCTCTGAGAGCATGAGTAATTCTCTTGCTCATCAGCTTCCAAACCCTAGTGGCTTGGATCCAGAGGATGTGGGTGCAACCTGGGGGCTGGTCTCTGGACATGTCTAGCCCTATGGATGGCTCCTCTATGGAGAAGCCCTTTTCTGTTCATTTAACCCTGTGATTATTACATCCAGGGCTGACTCTGGGAAAGAGATCACCAGCAAGGCTGTCGACTAAATTTTTGTCAACGGCAATGTCCCCTGTAACAGTGTTAATGGTGTCAGCCATCAAAGCATTTCCTGCTAGGACTGGGTTATCTGAGCAGGGAATAATCTCCAGGCAGGATATTTGTTGTGTATGGTGTAGCTTCTGCATTCCTTGCCTTTTCCTTCCACATCTTCGTCTTGAATGTGACTTTTTCCAACTATTGTATATGTTGAAAATGCTGGTTCACTGGCTCTCCTTTTCAAGGGGAGAGGGGGCCTAAGAGGACCTGTAGGGTTTGTATTTAACCAGAGTTTCTCATCTTTCTTAGGGCTGCTCCCACAGCTTAATTGGTGTTACAAAATATTGATGGTTGTTTTAGTTCCCTGTATTTTACGGATGACAATTTCTTGACAGGTCTATCCAATGCAGAGTACAGTCTCCTCAGACCTGGGAAGGATTTCTTTAGTGGTAGGCAGCATATATGTTCTTGAATGTGGCTCAGCCACAGACATCCCATGAACTGACCTATTATTATCCTATACCAGGTGAGGACTGAGAATAATCAATGATGATTTGACAAATGGTGAGAATTGTGACCATTACGGTGGTGATGAGCTTGTGCACACCTGAAGGAGTTGTTTTTACGTATGGAAAGTGCCTTGTGAGCAGAACATATAGGACAATGCCCAAGCTCCATATACCATACAGGGTTTCCTTTCCAAGATCTCTGGCACTAAACAAAGCAACATCTGCCTCTTTTCATGTTTAACTGACATGCCAACATCACAAAACTTTGCATTGTCCACTCCATTGACTAAGATGTTTTCTAATATTATGGTTTATGATGTGTCTTTAGGGGAGGAAGTGAACTGCTGACATAACCTGATGAAAAAACACTTGCCTATTCTTCGTCCTTTAGACAGCCTAGCTCCCTGAGGCAGCTCTCCAGGTCTTCTCCCTCCACATTCTCCTTGATCATATAAGTCATTGTCAGTGTGTCAATCATGTGAAAAATGGTGTTCCTCTGTTCTAAAAATTGAAGGATGTTTAGACAGAGGAGATGTTACACATCAGTGTTGATTTTTCTCAAGAACCTTGACAGCAACCCATGCATTTGTGGGAAGGTAGCAGGCATGCTTCACTTCTCAAAATGTGCCACAATCCAAAGCACAATCCAGAGATGTTAAGATCTTGAAATCCTTTTCAAGGATATCTTCTTCCCAGGGAATGGCATTGAGGTTTGGTTCATTTTCAACCAATATATATATATATATATATATATATATATATATATATATATATATATATATATATACATACAGAATATACACATATGGAAATTCCAGGGACACAATATTAGAAGAAAATAATGAATACAGACCCAGGAGGGAAGAGGGAAGTTTATACCTATGAATTCTACATCATGAAATCTGAGAGATCCAAAACAATCTAATGAGGCACTATACACTAAAAGGATGTAGAAATACAAGAAAAAAATAAAAAGATAATTGAAAATAAGCAAATTGAGCATGGCTTAGCATATATTCAGACTCTTGGGGAAGAGTCTATACTCAGACATAGTAACTACTGAACTGTTGTAGTATTAGGAAAGTAGCTAGAACTAGAATGAGTTTTATATAAAATAAACCATTTCCACAAACAAAAACTATAGCATATTTTGTCCTCTGTGGGTCCTGAGAAAGAAGAATATGTCACAGAGATAGGGTAGAAAAAGTGAAATGGAGCAGGAGAATATGACCAAAGTGCTGTATAGGCATGTATGGGAATGCTATGATAAAACTGCTATGGGTAGTATACAGTAACACATGTTTTAACAGGAAAAAATTAAAAACAAAACTAAATGCGTTTTCAAATAGGAAATTAAATAGTAAAGAAGAAAGAGATAACACAGGTACAAAGCAAATCTAGAACTAAAGCCAATAATATAAAAATATGAAATACCATACCTGAACACCAGGAAACAAAACCAACAACCTCAAAAACAAACTCAGTATTTTGAGATCCAACAGATTGGAGATTCCATTCTATCAGAACCAGTGTTATCGCCCAACTGCTCTGTAGGCTGTGCCTAATGTGAACTAGTATCCAACATTCTTCATAATGCCTCCTTGTGATGTCACCACAAGAAATTGACCAATCATGGCTTGTCATAACTGACTGGTTTCTCTACGCTCCTGTAGTGCAACCAGTGCACTGGATTGTTTGTTTGTTTTTATTGTTATTTTTCATGGCTGTGAACAAATTCCAGACAAGAACCAACTCTAAAGAAGAAGGATTTATCCCTGCTCAGGCTTTCAAGAGATAGTGAAGCCATGATGGTAGGAGCATCATGTTCTGTATAGAGCTCAGCAGTTTGACAGGTGGTGAGCCCACATGAGAAGTCCTCTATCCTCCAGTGACACAGCACTAACTAAGTGTCACCTGTATGTATTCCACAAATTTCCAAACTGGAAAGCAGGTGCTCAATATCCCGAGATACTGTTAACAAAGCTACTGTGGTACTTTGAGTTAAAACAGTCTCCTACAATCTTGGAAATTTGAAACATGTACACCAGCTAGTGGCACTCTTTGGGGGAACTTTATGTGGTATAGCCTTAGTGACAAGAGTCCATCACTGGGGCTGTCATTTAGATCAACAAACCTAGCCTTCATTAGCTCTCACTGCTTCCTGCTAGAGTTTGAGGATATGAAGCTCTCAGCTTCTTGCTCATGCCTCCAAGAATCCATCCAGCTGTCATGCTTCTGCCTGCCATCATGGGTTCTAATCCCTCCAAATATAAGCCTGTTAAGCTCTTTATTTCTTAATATTCTATGTTTATGAACTTTATCTCAACAGAATAGTAACTAGTACACACCTCCTCAGCAGAGAAGACTGCTATCCATCCCAACTTCACCCCTGTTTCCCAAAGGTCAAGGCATAGACCTTGGTTTCACACAGTGCCACATTTTTACACATTGGCCAGGTTTCTTTCACCCCCTTCAGAGAAACAATGACCCTTGCAAGTAGCATTAATTCCAGATCTCCCAACTAAAACCCAAACACATGCAATAAGGAGAGATAGAAATCAATGCAAAACCTAAAGTTCCAGAAAAATAAAACTAGAGAAAACAATCTGAAAGAACCAATGGATCAAGGAAATCTTGTAATATGACCAAGGAAATTCACTGACTAATTCCACAATCTAAAGAACTAACAGGAATGATATGCAAGTATTTCAGTAGTTCATCAAAATTGAGGGAAGGGATACTTTTAAACTCTTTTTATAAAATAAAGAATATCCTTATTCTCAAACCAAGTAAAGACACCTTAAAAGGAGTCAAATATCTGGCAATGTCCTTGAATATTTGGCAATGTCCTTGACTAACATGATGAGGAAATCCTTAATGTGAGTAAATTTTACTTCATATTCAATGACACATTACAAAGACCATAGTTCATGATCAAGATGCCTCCTTCACTAGGAACACGTGGATCAACCCACATACACAAATTGATGAGGAAAATAGCAAAAATGCACCAATGAGCATAACAGTCAGCCATGAAAAGGAACTAAATGCCATTGGCAGAAAACAAAACGAAACACGGAACTAGAGGAAGTGTTGCTATAGACAACCAGTTCCACAAACACAATTATTTTTGTTTCCCACAGGTCATATTCAGACAGAGGGATGCATTTTTGTATAATGGATAATATTGGTCACATGTGATCTGCTCAGAAGTGAATTAGAGCAGAAGAAAATGACCAAAGTGCAGTACCAGCAGGTATGAGAAGTCGTGATCAAACCCTCATCGGATACATGCATACCACCAAAGTTTCAAATAAACAGGAACAAATCCAGTAATGACAAAAAATAAATTCATAAAATGGAAAACCTCTGTCAATGAAGGAATAGAAACTACAGCCAGTTTTTAGAACCAAAACCATATTGTAAAAATAAAAATCAATAAATAAATTCCAAATACCAAAAGCCAAACCTGAAACAAACAGGTTGGGAAAGTCAAAATCTATCACAAACAACAGAGTCCAACTGTCTTATCTACCAACCAACTCTTTCTCTTCAGTATGAGGACAAAACCCAGCCTCAGGCAGTGCCTTATACGGACTTGTGTCTAGCATATCTCAAAAAGATACCTTGTGATGTCACATGCAATGGACCAATCAAGGCTTAGCAAAACCCATAGTGGTTTTTTTCTTTTCTTTTTTTTTCTCACGTTCTGTCCCCAACAACTGCCCTAATTCTTCCTATAGTTGCGATCAGATAGCTGAAAATGATTTACTTATGGAAAGAAGAGTCTGTTTAACCTCAAATTTAAAGGACATAAGGCAATATAATGGGGATAACTCGTGGCATGAACATCAGGAGTGTGATGCAATTGGTTACATGGCATTTACAATCCCTCATTCCTCCCAGCACCCAAGACTTCCTGCTAGGTGTGATCTCCTATAGTTACACAGTGTCCCCAAAACTGTGGGGACTGAGTATTCACACATGTGTGACAGTGGACATTCCACATCAAATCTGTCTCATGCACCCTTGTTGTTAATAATAATAAATAATAATAATAGTAATAGTAATAAAACTTACTTAATGATAGATTGGAGAAACTTTGTGTTTAGTATGGCTGTGGACACAGGTATAGTAACTGCTTCTAGCTGAATGTTTGTAGACTTTACATGGAATTTCACTTTAGTGCTCAAATTCTGTACTGGTTTTGCTTTTACAGACTGAGCTCACCATACCTACTTGGAGGACCAAGACTTTTATGTTGACATTAGAGTGGTAAGTTAGAGGAGAACAGTGTCACTCTGGTCCCATCTTGATGCTCTGCAACTCACAGCACATCAACAACTCCTATCTCTGACTCACTCAACAACTCAGAATTTGTCAGTTCATGTGACTTTGATATGTCCTTGTCTTCACCAAATAGCATTGGTGAAAGCTTCGCATGTTTCTCTACTCTGGCTATCCTGACCCTTACACACAGTCTCATTCCATCTTTCTCTCTCCTGTCCCTGTAAATTAACTCTAATAAGCCTGGGCTCCATTACTGACATTAACCATGTTCAAGGATGTCTATGCTAAGACTTCTTTTCTTTGTCCTCATTGAGTGTAAAAAATTTCCATTGCTATGTAGGATGCATAAATTCAGCATTGGTCACCTGTGGAAAAGGATGGGATAGAGAACAACTGGGTATGACAGGAAGTGGGGCCTGGGTTATGCTGTTTACTGAGGAGGATGGAATATGGGCAGGTAGGTGGTCCCAGGCTGGGAAGATGGAGGTCTGATTCAAAGAAAGTTCAAAGACTGTCCCAACAGTTAGGGTTACTTTGTTTTCAGGCCTTGGCACATTGCATGGCTACAGGGCAGTGAGGACATGAGGCACTAAGTCCCCTGTTTTGGCTGCTGCTATTATCATTACCTCTAAATCCCAAGACTAGCCTTACCACATATCCTGAAGTCTCCTGAGTATGAATGGTCAGGGAAGGGCTAACACTGAGGAATCTAATTCTGCAGAAGGTTTTCAAGCCTGTGTTCAATGAGCCCAGAGATACTTCAGATCAATCAAAATCTTGATTTGAAGGAGCAAGGGGATATGAAAGGTGGGGGCCCAAAAGCCAGATCAGGAACTGGAAATGACTCCTTTTGGTCTCCTTTTGTCTTCCCCACAGAATCATGTGACACCAGAGAAGTAATCAACAGAGAGGACTCAGGTTGAGGCAGAATTTTCTATTGTGTCGAAGTGTGAGTCAGGGTTCTGGGAAGGTGTCCAGGGCTGGCTTAGTGCTGGCTGTAGGAAGGACATGATAGCTGAGGGTAAGAACAAAGGCTCCATCCCTCCTGGGTGAATGGGGAACCCAGGCCTGGAACAAAGCCAGCCTGGTTCCCCTCCCAGACAAGTAGAAAAAAACAAATGTGCCTTCATTGCCCATACCTCCTCCTATCATGTGAGAAATTGAGACAGATATCCCACAGGTCACACAGCACCACACATACATCAAGTCATTCTCTACAGAAAACTGGGGCAAGAAGAAGGGGCCAAATCCTCTTAGAATCCATGACATAGAACAATTTACTGTAGCATTTCTGAAATGTCTAGATATCTCATTTGCAAACTAGGTACAGAGGTTCATTAGGGCAGGGAATGAAGTTGTATGGCCTCCACCCACCCACCTGCCCTTAGTGGGAGCTCCTGTGGAAGTCTTTCACCCCCACGGCATCCCCCCAACCTGCTGAGCTTTCAGTCCTTCCCAGTGAGCTCTCATGATAGCAATCCCATCTGGTTCTTTCTTGTGAGTACAAAACTCTTTACTGTCCACATCATTCTGCCATCTGAGGTACCGCATTTCTCACATGTGCAGCCCGCTAAATCTTGGGAGAGGGGTGAACATAGCTCAAAACAAGATGTAATCTGGCAGAAGAGAAGAAATCACCTATCTTGGGAATATATGTAATATTTGCCTAGAAAGTAAGACCTTTACTAAACCAAAATGAATAGGTATTTCCTTGCAGAAATTCTTAGAAACAATTATACAAGTCATATAAAGTGTTCTGGTAAGCAGTCTGGTAAGCTCCTGTTTTTAAGGGATATTTCAGGATTACAATCTTGTTTCCAATAAAATAAATCAAGATAATCAAGTCCCTTCACAAAACCAGAAGTAACATGAAAATTCAAAACAATATGCCTCCTCCTCAAAATGACCAATCTCACAGTAATGGCCAAAAGTAAGACTGATTTAAGCAAAATTAAACTTGAAGTATTCAAAAAAAATAGTTATAAAAGCATTCAAGTAACTCAAAGACCTCAAGATAAACTCAAGGATGAATTCAAAGAGGGTACAAATAGTTTCCTGAATTAACTCAGAACACAAACAAAGAGTTAAATGAAATATTTGAAAGTAGAATTTAACAATGGAATATAAATACTAGAGGAAAAACACAATGTTAGAAATGAAAATTTTAATAAGTCGTAATTAAAATATCAGTGAAAAATCTCACCAAGAGAATGGATTGTGTATAAAACAGAACCTTAGAGGTAGAAGACAAGATAGAAAAACTGAATCATTCAAATAATGTCAGTGATAATTTATTTTTGAAGTATGAAGGGAACATGTGAGCTCTTTGAAACAACAAAAAAATTCTAATCTAAAAATTGTAAGTATAGGTAAAGAAGTTTTTAGAAGAATTTAGTAAAAATACAGACTGAGGAAGAAAGAAATGATAGATGAAGCGATATGTAGATAGATGATGTGATGTTACAAATGATAGATTCATATAATTAATTATAACATTGTTGATGAATGAAATGTTTTACTGATCACACTTCTCAGTTTATCAATTTTAATGGCTGACTATGAGGAACATTCTTTGATTTCTAATTTTAAAACATATTAGGAAAAACTAATATTGAGCAGAGAAGGACTTGATATTATCATATCAAATAATGAAAGGTCCCAGCTTCCACAGATGATCATCTACTTTCCAATTAAAAAAAATTGCCTACTTATAGTGAGATCAGAAATTCTAAATTTTAACTACAATCTGACTCTTTTTCCAAATGTAAACTCTTGCTTTGGAGCCAAAGAGGATGCTGGGACAGGAAGCGGTATTGTATGTAACTTATGTAAGTCATAGTTCTCTTCTCTAAGGAATTCCCGAATGATCTGTTGCTCTCTGTTGGATGCAGTACTGATAAATGCTGAGCAAACAGGGACTTTGTAAAAATCCTAACCTATGAGTGACATATTAATACATATAGACAAATTAATTAACAGTAAAAGTAAGGAAAGCAGACAAAGACACAAGAAAGACATGCATTAAGTGTTTGATGATGGCTAAAGAATGCTAACTACTTGTTCTTTTGTGTTTGCTTGGGGATTAAAATCTGTGTCAAACTATTCTATTTTCATATATGAAGAAGAAATATGAGCATGTTTTGACACATAAAAATAAATATTATTTGTATTCTATATCCAGCTAGGCAGTAGATAGCTGTTCTGTATATTATGTGAGTGTGACTTAGCTATTTTGACATGTATGTTTCTGATCAATTTTGAATAGCTTGGTAGGTAGCTATGGGAGATGATTATGAAATAATGTCCAATGCCCTCCTTCTTTCCTTCTCCACTAATGGTGATTCTTCTGTTTTTTAACAAGAGTGTAAGTACAGACCCCATTAAATTCTCCCCCTAAGCGACACAGACAAGTCACACTTATCAGGCCTTCCCCTTACAGGTATCATTATCTTCTCACTCCTGATTCAGGTTCTCAGGTGTTTGCAAAGAACATTAGTTTTCCTCAGTTCTAAAAAGAATTCTTATCCTTGGTGTGGAACACATGGGGGATACTGTTTTCTTCTAAGAAAAACAGATATGAAATTGGTCAGGGAGAAGTAAGCTCCCACACATCCACACAAAGCAGTGATGTGTGTTGTTGACAGATACCCGAAAGGATGCATCAGTGAGTAAGTGAGAATAAAAGCCATCCATTCATGCAGCTGGAATTGTAATGGGGGTAAGACAGAGAAAAGCATTATTTTGATTGTGTTAAAGATTTATTTTTACTATTTTAAATTCTGTGAACATTTGCATTTCTCTGTGAGGGTATTTGCATGTGAAGTCAGCACTCACAGAGGCCAGGGGAGGATCTCTTATCCCTTAGGGCAGGAGTTTCAGGAGACTGTGAAGAGCCCCAGCATGGGTGCTGAGTTTGGCTAAATGCAGATCCTTAACAAAATACAATACGTGCCCTTTCCTGCTAAGCCATCTCTCTAGCCCTAGGTGAACATTTTTAATTGATAGAAAACTTTTTGAGATTCTATACAGAGATTATTTGATAAGAAATGGGAAAGCATAGAACAGGTGCTGGTATTGTAGGTAAAGAAGAGGATGTGTTTTAATAACTACGATCAAATAAATTCATTCCGTGAGTTATATCTGAAGAAAGAGATAAAGAAAATTAAGACAGGAACCATTTCAATATCTGGGGGAAAAAAAGAATTCTTGGAATCAGACCAAAGTCACAAAATCTAGTGGCAAAAAACATGAGATTTAAGTGACTACAGCATTTTGAGCCAGCATGGGAAGAGAGACATATGAAATTAAAGAGGAATCACGTGTGGTACTGAAGAACTGTGGTGTCAAAATGAGGACGTGATGATTTACAGGAAACAAACTGCTTGGGTCAGATGATGATTGCATTCCTATCCTCTGTGGATGCTACTCAGCAAGTCAAATTATAATCACAACCTTACTTACTGAATCACCTCAGGAAAGGTACAGCATCTATTGTAATCCTGTTGATGTTTTCTGCTTACAGCTGGAGATATTTGTCTTCTGTGGAAAGAGCAATAAAACACTGTAGTGTCTTTGAACAAGTCTCCTTGTATAGCATGGAAACATCTTATCCTTCATGTATTGGCTCTTTGGAACAAACCCAGTAAAATTTGACCAGATTGACCTTTTCTTTTTAGCTGATAACTTTGTATGAGGTTGTACAAAGAAACATTATACTTAGCATTTTAATTCGAATTACAGTGTCTCTGAAATCACTTAGCTCGCCTATTAAATATAGTTTAGTGATATTTTACTAAGAAAAGTATAGGGATCAAATGTAAAGCACGTACAAAGCCCTGGGATACTTGTTATCAACATGTACTTTTGGTTTATCGTCCTAATAAATCTATGTAATACTAGTACACAATTTGTGTTTACAAATACATTATATACCATGCCTGTATTAAGTGCTATTTTGTTATCAAAGGTGCAGGCACACCATGTTGTGTGCTACTCTTTTTCATCTAGTTTATGCTGGAAGAAATAAAAT